CCCCTTACTTAAAAGCCAAACTCTGGTTTCTGGGTATATTCAGGCATTGGAGAGGATCAACTTCACCTGCTTGAGTGGTCCTGCAACACCAGGGCAGCAAACACACTGTGCTGGGAGGAGGGATGCCAGGGACACCCACCAGCAAGGGGCTGTGGAGCAAAAATGAGGTAATGGAAGAAAATCCCCATTGCTTTGGTGATTGCCACGGCATCTAGAGAAGCAGAAGCTGCCCACAAAGGACCAGGGTCTGGGGGGAGAAACTGAGCTGCTGGTTTTGTGATAGCCAGAGCTGTGCTGTATGATGGCAACAGGCTTCACAGGTCTGAAGTAAAGAGGTGTGCAGGTTGTGACTTGAGGCTGGAGCTTCATCGGGGAGGATTTGCCCTTGTTCTCCTCTCCCTGCAGTGGGGCACGTCTGCACACACGTGAGCAGGGCCAGCATCTCCCCGCTGCTGCTGGTCCTGTTCAGCTCGTTCAGGGCCTGTGACCATCCCTGCTGACAGCCCCACTGCAGCTCTGCACCTCCCGGGTGGGACCCCCACCCAAAACCAGCCGAGGAGACTCTGGGGCAGGGTGTCTGCAGGAAGGGCTCCCTGCAGAGCAGCCCCGAGCTGGTGGAGCAGCACGGAGCAGCTGCCCAGCTCCAGGGAGGATTTTCGGGTTGTGCGAGGTGGAGGAAGGCACCTTCTCCTCCACCACCCCGGTGAGGCCAGGGCAGAAGCTGCTCCTCCAGTCTCACCTGTCAGGGGGTAATTTTGCAATCTGCCAGCCCCTGTCCAACCCCCACGCGCAAAACCGGTGTGGTGGAGAGCAGGTGCTGGGCTCCATTTCAAGAGAGTCTGTGCCACATTAAGTCATGCAAATAAAAAAATGCCCAGCAAAGAAAACCAAGAGCAACCCCAACTCACACCAAAACCTCTCTCCAATCTGTCAAGTGCACAGGGCATCAGCAAAGCAGATCAGCTCCACGCTGGCCTGCAAAATACTCCTGGCACTGCAAGTTTTCCATGAGTGATCAGGCAGCTTTCCTGGGTATAAATTCAATTTATAATTCTAAAATTAGACCAGGAACATAGTAGGGTAGCCAAGAAAAGAAAGCTTGGCTGGTGGAAGCAGCCCTGCCTGGTGAAAGCTGCATTACATAAATCCAGCCTGAAGCTGAACAACTCCAGCACTGCTGATGGGGAAATATCTGGCTGTACATCCACTAAGCTTCACTGATCTGACAGTGTCAGAACTTCAGAGTCCTGTCAGTTTTTTATTTTTTAATTTTTTTTTAACATCTTAAACCCATTTAGCTAATGAGCTGCTAAGTTATTCTTCAAGGAAACAATGCTGAAGGTGAGGATGTGCTGTGGCTCGATGCAAGTGTGGCTGGCAGCACTGGGGATGGCAAGAGAGGCCAGAAACCCCCCAGAGAGCAGAGAAAGGGTCAGAGCTGTCCGGGTCCATCCCTCCCCAAGCCCCCTGGCATGGTATGGAAATAACCTCCCTGCTTTTCCTTTCCCCAGCTGCAGTCAGGAGCATCCTGCCCCGAGGAGCGATGCCACCAGTACCCAGGCAATGCTGAGATGCCTGGTGCTGCACACGTGAGACTCAAGGTGCTGGGGACCCTGTGCCCTGAGCCAGCCCCGTGTCCTGCCCTGAGCTGAGCGCTGGGGGACGTGGAGAGTAGGTGAGCAAAGCCACAGCACCACCAACCACCCTGCCCCAGGAGCTTGGGCTTTCCAAACCCCCTGGATTTAGGGGCTGGATGAGGAGTTTGCCTCTGGTCCCCAACACTGGGGCTCTGTTTTCAGAGGGCCCCCATCACTTGGAGATCCTCCTGGCCTCCCCAGCATGCCAAAGGGCTGCTCCCAGTCCTGCCACAGGGCCGCATCCAGCACTGCTGGGTGTAGGTCACAGTGACAGCTCTGAAAAGGGCTCAGGGCTGTAAATGAAATCCCTGTCTCGGGGAGTGAGCTCCACACCGACAGACACTGTGGTCTGGTCTTCATCAATAAATTTCCCTTGATAAATCCTCACAAGCAGGGCAGAGGAGCAGGGGGCTGTGGCTTCATGCCTTGGCCAGTCCACACTGGGGGAGAAGAGAAAAGGCTGAACCCCTCAGAGAGCCTGGGCTGCCTGTGGGGTGGCTCTGCTGCAGCAAAAGGCCAAATCCTGGGCACAGATACATGGGGGGTGATGCTCGTGCAACGTCTCTGGAACGTGGTGTGCCTAGACCACAGACCCAAGGTTTTCACCAGAGTGGCCACCCATTGGCACCCCAAAAAGCACTGAAAATGGGAATAGTATTATCCAGTTCATTGGATCACCAGCATGTCACAGGTTCCTACAGATCTGAGGGCTCTGAGGAAAAGATGAGGAGTGAGCCCCAACCCTTGTGGCACCACAGCCACGCACGGAAGGCAAAGCTGCTGCCCACACCCCAGCCCCAAATCCTGATCTGCCGGGCTCTGCCCGCAGCTCTGAGTCAGGGCAGCAGGGATCCTGGGCTGCCCCAGCCACATCCCAGCCCTGCCTCCCCAAACCACCAGCTGGCACCAGCCCCAGCCTGGATGTCACCCTCCTGGGATGTCCCAGCTGGAGCCCCATGGCCCAAAGTGCTGGGTGCCACTCAGCCCCCCAAAACAGCAGCTTTGGGGAATGCTCAGCACCGAGGTGGGCAGGGGATGGTCTGGAGAGAGCCCAGACAGCCACTGCCGGCTCTGCTCTCAGTTCCAATACCTTCCCAGTACCCAGCACTGGGGATGCAAGGGGAATTGGGGCCAGAGAACCTCAAAGCTCAGCCAGCCCTCAGGGGTTCAGCCCCATGATGGCACTGGGGGGTTCCACCACCTCCCTTCAGCCCCAGGAAGGTGCTTTGCCCAATTTCAGACTCAGCGATCCTGGGAAGTGCTTTTTGTCAGCATGAAGGGTTTGGTTTTCCCTTTTTTGGAATAGAGTCAGGTATTATTCCATTATTCAGCTTTACTTTGGGGGCTGAGCAGCAGAGATGGGTTCCCAATCCCATTTCTGGCAGCCGAGCCCGAGCTGCATGAGTCTCAGCAAGCCGTGCTTGCCCCAGGTGGCTTTTCCCTGCTGGGAGAGCTCGCCCAGCCTGGCAGAGGTGGGGTTCTGCCCCGGGAAGTGGGAGCAGTGAGCAGCTTTTCACTCCTTTCCCCAAAGAATGAGCTCTCTGCTCCGTTTGCCCCAGCCTTGCTGGGAAGGCAGAGGGGGTGGCTGGAGCTGGTTCATGTTCAGGCGGGTGCTGGGCTGAGCTGGGCGTGCTGGGAGCTGGCGTGTGCCTCATTTCTTTGCAAAATCAGATGCTTTAGGGGAAAGTTTCTTCCTCCAGCTCTGCGTGCCCACATCTTGCATATGCCGGCGAGCCAGCACATCTCTGCTCTGCGTGCAGATAAGGGCATGGGCAAGGGAGCTGGGCTGGGAACAGTGCTGGGTGATGCAGAACGCTCCCACGTGGAAGTCCCTCCTCCACCAGCCTGGTTTGGGTGGTCATAATCATCAAAATAATCATCATTATCGTAATCATAGAATCACTCTGGTCGGAAAGGACCTTTAGGATCATCAAGTCCAACCTTCCCCATCCCTGCTACCACCATGGTCCAGGTGAGACCTGAGCCCATAGCTATTTTGGGGGATCTGAGACTCCCCAGGGCTTTGGCTGATGGAAAGGAAAGAGTTTATCCTCATGTCAGCATTCCAGGGAGGAATGAGGTCATCACTGGTGAAAGAACCTTTCCCTTCTCCAAGGATTCCATTTTCCATCCTTGCTAGTAATTTTCAAAATCTATGGGATTAGGGCAGAAATTCTTTAAAATTCTTTTAAAATCTGAAAATTTGGACAACATTCCTACAAAACAACCACTTTGTTTTCAGGCTGTTTGTTTACCTCCTGCCTTTCCCAGCTTACTGAGCTGGGGATGTTGTGGGTTGCTTTCTACCTCTCCTGTTATTTGGGGGTGTTCTCAACCAAAAAAAAGGGAAACACAAGGGCTTTTTTTTTTAGAAAGCAGAGCACTTTGAGTGCTCTTGAGGACTCTTGTACGCTACTGCCAGTACTAAGTGATGGCACTCTGTGACAGAGCATTAATCAACCCCATAACCTCAATGGGGAAACTGAGGCAGGGGCAGGTCTGCTCATCACCTCGCCAGGTTTCTCTGGAAAATGGGGGAAATAACACTCATTTTGGTACCTCCCAAGGGTTTGAAGAGGTTGCAGCCGGTGAGGCCACAGAGGGAGCCTGGAAGATGACAGTGGGGTGTCTGAGTGGTACATTTTGCCTCCTCAGAAGTGTTCATGGTGCCAGAGGGGGGAGAGATCATAGAATCATAGAATGCTTTGAGTTGGAAGGGACCTCAAAAGGTCATCTAGTCCAACCCCCCTGCAAGGGAGCAGGAACATCCCCAACTAGGTCAGGTTGGTAAGAAACCCATCAAGCCTGACCTTGACTGTCTTCAGGGATGTGGCCTCCACCACCTCCCTGGGCAGCCTGTTCCAGCGTTCCACCACCCTCATAGCAAAGAGATGCATGAGAACATCTCCAGACCCAGTGGGAGATGGGTCTGTCTGGTTCAAGCACCTGAGTTGCCAGAGCTTCTCCCACCATCAGTCCCCAGCAACGTGGTCCCAACAGGGGCCCTGCAGTCCTTTCCTCAGGAAGATGCCCTGCCCCACCTCACCCCAGAGAAATGGGATTTCAGCAGAAATCTCAGAAAGTAGAGGCAAAGTCTGGTTTTTCAGCTGGGCTTTCAGTGCTGAGGCAGGGTGGAGAGGTCTGGAAACAGCTCCCATGGTGAGCCTGCTGCTCTGTGTGGGTTCGTGGCTTAGCAAACGATTTCACTTTCTAGATTTGAGCTTTGCTCTGTTCCTCTGACTTTTACAAAACTTCACACACGCAAGAAACTTCTCTTTTATTGGACTTTCTGTTTTCATTTTAGGCTGCAACCTGAATTCTTTGAAACAAAAGGACACTGTCACACTGGAAGCAGCACTGAACATGACCACGGAGAGTTTTGCAGAGTTCCTGAATAAGCTCAGGGAAATCCATGAAAAAGAGGTCCAAGGTAAGGAGACGTGAGAAGTCTTGTTAAAAATTGGCCAAGGTCCATTTCTTTGTAATGCCACCTTGAGCTGTTTGGTTTCCAATAACCTGGAATAGCTTTGAGCATTAGGGCTCAGGAAGGTGTGACCCACAGGGGTGGATGGGGACACAGGCTCACAGCCTGGCCCTCAGGGGACAGAAGGCACCCTGGTGTCTCTCAGCAGTGGAGAACGAGGTTTACTGGCAAAATCAGGAACTTTTTGGAAGAGGAGGAGGAGAAGAGAGAGGGTCTTCCTGCATCCAATGTTCATGGAGACCAAGTCACAGAGGTGCTCGGTCCCTGCAGGAATCCCACTTGCTCCAAGCATTAATCCCATGGGATTTGGCTCCTTTCCTGCTCCTGCTGCCCTGGTTGGTGATGAAGGTGAATTGGGAGGTTTGCAGAAGTGTGGTGCACGCTGCTGGGCATCTTCTCCAAGCAATGTGGATTGGAGTACGTTTGGATGCTGAGGGATCAAAGGGAACATGGAAAGATGCAATAATCTATAGGACAGAAGCAGCAGGAGCATGAAGCTCTGTTAAAGAAAACCTTAGAGTCAGGCTGGATACTTTATTCCTCTAGGGAATAAAGTATTCCTCAGGTCACACATTATTAAAAGAAGAGCCATTAGGTTAAGAAACCAAGTGCCAAATCCAATTGTTTTCCTATTAGAGTAATTCCCAGTATCAATATTATGAACAAAACAACAGCACTTTTGGAAGATTCTGGCTTATGAATTCATTCTTGTCTTGTGTAATCTCAAGCCATGTGAGACTCAGAGGAAACTGTTGAGCAATTTAAACCACATGTTTACATCTACTTTGCATAAAATGGATCTGACAAGGTGAAACGTCTGCAGATCCATCAACAAAAGCTGTTCTTGTTCAGCTGGAAACATCCTCCAGGATGCTCTGCAGCCCTGAGAGCTGGAAAATACTGCCCACCTGGGGAAGGTGTGCTGCAAGGAGAAATGAGCAGAAATAAAACCAAAACAGACTTGGGGAGGGTGGGGAGGGAAATGCAGCCTCCTGAAATGCTGGAAATACAAAATGTGCTCACATTTTGCACAACTTTTCCCGCTAAAAATCTGGGAGAGTGCTTAGCACAGGCAGCGTGTCACTCCTGCTCAGGTATGAGGTTTGTGAATTGATGAGGTTTCTGCAGGCACCCTCCTGAAGTTCCATCACTGTGTCTCCTCTCTGAAAGGCTGAGGAATCAGGACTAAATCCCCACCCCTCCACCTCTGTTGATCGTTTCAGGTCTGCAGAGCAAGCTGCTGGAGCTGACGACGGAGAAGTGCCGGTGAGCAGCACCACCTCTGCTCTGCCCACGCCGTGCTGGGACGGGGGGCAGAGGGCAGGCTGTGGGTCCATCTTCAGACCTCAGGGGAATTCTTCTGAGGCTGCCCAATTTAGAGAGCACCACTGGCCTTTCTGCCTCTGCCAAATTCAGACCTTTCGGTGGCTTTTGCCGTGCAAGACCCCAGCACAGGCAAGGCTTGGGGTGATGAGGAAAGGTTGAGAGAGTTGAGGGTGTTCAGCCTGGAGAAGAGAAGGTTCCAGGGAGACCTTACTGCAGGCTCTCAGTACTCAGAGGGGACCAATAAGAAAGATGGGTGCAGATGTTTTAGCAGGGCCCGTTGCAACAGGACAAAGGGTCATGGCTTTAAACTAAAAGAGAGGAGATCTAGACTAGATTTAAAGAGGAATTTTTTATATTATGAGGGTGGTGAGCCCCTGGCCCAGGTTGCCCAGAGAGGTGGTCGCTGCCCCATCCCTGGGAACATTCCAGGTGAGGTTGGATGGGACTCTGAGCAACCTGCTCTAGTTGGGGATGTCTCTGATCCCTGCAGGGGGGTTGGCCTAGATGAACATCATAGGTCCCTTCCCACCCAAACCAGCCTATGACCCCAGCCCAGTTTGCCTTCTCACTGGCAAGTGATGCTCATGCCAATGGGCGCCTGGTCTCCTGGGAAGCAATGAACTGGGCCAAACAAGCTGCTAACACCAAGGGCAGGTGTTGCAGGGCAGCACCTGGGCTCTGGCACATTTGTTTCCCACCCCTGCCACACAGGAAAAGCAATTCAGGCACCCCAGTGTGAGCAGCACAGTGGGCTGAGGGCAGAAATCCTTTGACAGGGCGCTGTGGATAAAGGCACAGATCTGGGGGGGGAAATCTAATAACCCTCTTTTCTTTGTTCTCTTTCTTCAATCAGTGATGCTCAGAGAATTGAAGAGTTGTTTGCTAAAAATCAGCAGTTAAGGGAACAACAGAAGGTCCTTAAAGAAAATGTAAAGGTGTTAGAAAACAGGTAAGGTTTATGTTTCAATACAGTGCTGCTCAGTGGCAGCAAGTGCACCCTTCAAGGGGGGGGAGTTTGGGGTTTGCTGCCTTCCCAGAAGGAGGGTGTAGCACGTGAACCTCTTTCCTGGTGGGGGGTGTGGAGGAGCCTGGGCACATGCAGAGGAGCCCTCCAGAGCTGACGGTGGTGGGGTGCAATGGCCAGGGCTGGGCTGGGTGGGTGATAACCCTTCTCCCCGGTTGTGGGTGTTGCCACGTCCCCGTGAAGAGGACAGGGGCTCACGTCCCCCAGGGGGTCTGAGGTGCTGGCCGTGGGTTTTCCTGCAGGCTGCGAGCAGGTCTCTGTGACAGATGCATGGTCACCCAGGAGCTGGCAAAGAAGAAGCAGAATGAGTATGAGACCTCCCACTTCCAGAGCCTGCAGCACATCTTCGTCCTCAGTATGTACCACCCCCTGCAAGCCCAGCTTGGGCTGCCTGGGTCTTTGCCCAGTTAAGAGCTCTCCCAGATACTGGGACACGAGCCCTCCTGGTGACCTGGGAATCAGGGGGGAGTTTGGGGATGTGGGGAAGGGAGGGAGACAAGGTGATCCTGGTGGGTCTTCAAAACTCTGACCCAATCAGGACTGTGGGTGGGCAGCCCATGTGCCCCCAGGCAGAGGGAACTGCTCACCTGAAGTGGCAGAGCCACTTGACACAGCCCAAGAGTTTAATTACTGAACTCCTCCAGAAAAAAAGAGAGATGCTCACACCAGGAGCTGCCCCACGCTGGCCAAGCCATGCCAGCTGCCTGGGAAAAAAAAGATGCACTTGGCACCACTGCTGCAGTACTGTGCTGCTGGGTGCCCACAGCTCCCTCTGCTCTTCGTCCAGCTCCTCCAGGTGCCCCAGACCCCCCCTTACCATCACCCTCTCGCCAGAGGTGGCCATGACACCTGGGTCACACTCTCCCCCCGGAGCTGTTCAGGCTACAAGCAGACCCCAATCCTGACCAAACCCAAGCTGGAAAGTCGTTGCCTTTAACCCGTTAGCCCCAAGAGTGTTTTCAGAGAAGGAAGGAAACTCAGCATCCCTCCCAAACCCAGTGCTGTCCCCTCCTCCTCCCCCGTGCACCCCAGGAAGCTGTGAGGGACAGCACCTGAAGCCAAGGTACAACTTGTGTCCCCACAGCTAACGAGACAAACCGCCTGAGGGAGGAGAACAGGACGCTCAAGGAAGAACTGAAGAGGCTCCAGAGCCCAGAGTAAGTGCTCCCCTGGGTTTCATTCCTTGCAGGGGGTGTTGGGAAGGACAGAGGTGTCCCTGCAGCTGAGCAGGGCTACGTCCAGACCCCGGCCTCCTCAGGGGTGTTTTAGCATCTAATTCCTACAGATTTGAAGAAAAAGAGAAGGCTCCAGGGAGACCTTATTGGTGTCCCTTGTTGGAGACATCCCAATACTTAAAGGGAGCCTTTCAGAAAGCTGGGGAGGGACTTTTTAGTAGGGCTTGTTGCAACAGATCAAGGGGTGATGGTTTGAAACTAAAAGAGGAAGATTTAGACCAAGGAGAAGGAAGAAATCTTTTGTAATGAGGGTGGTGAGCCCCTGGCCCAGGTTGCCCAGAAAGGTGGTCACTGCCCCATCCCTGGAACCATCCCAGGGGAGGTTGGCCGGGGCTCTGAGCAACCTGCTCTAGTTGCAGATGTCCCTGCACAGTGCACAGGGCTTGGACTAGATGACCTTGGAAGGTCCCTTCCATCCCAAACCAGTCTGGGACTGTATGATTCCTGTAGATGTTAGACACCAAAACAGCCATAATGGTCTCTATGTCCTTGTTGACCTTTGGTCACTCCCCTGTTCACCTGCACCTAAGGACTCAAGATTTTAGGGAACAAGAGTATTCTACACCTCCCCATGGGGGACTGCTCATGGGAAGAAAAGCCCTGGTCTGCTTGCTTTTGCCACGGACCTCAGCCTGGGCTTCCATGGCCTTTCCATGGCATCAGCTCCCTCCTGCAGCAGGCAGAGAGGGTCTTCAGGAAGCAGGTTGTGTTTTGGGGGCAGGAGGGTGACACACAGGGCACTGAGACAGGGCAAAGAGGGAGAAATCATCTGCACCAACAGGTTCATACCCCAGCAGAGCACTGTGCTGAAAGCCAAGTAACCTGCCAGGCTGGCCAATATATACAAATCAGCTCATTCCTCAAGGATTTAAAGTACAGAGGAATTAGCACTGAGGGATTAGTTTAGAAATGTGTTTTCTTTGGAGCACAGAAGCACCATCCACTTAAAGAGAAACTCTGCCTTTTACTCCATGATGCTTCCCAAGGCCTGAGGAGTTTCAGAGCTGTAGGTCAGGCTGGGTTTGCTGAGCACAGAGTGCTCCTGCTCTGCTCTTCCCTGGGCTGCTGGATAGGAAGATTTCCAGCCAAACACCCATGTCCTGGCACCAGGGGCCAGCCAGGACTTTGTCCTTGACATAAGCATTGGGCTTCCAAGACTCAATGACTCCCTTGCAGGAACCAAGAGCATCAGCCCCACCAGGCTGATCTGGTGAAGGGGCACAGCTGCCACATCCCTGCCCTGAATCCAGCCCTACATCAGGCTGAAAGCCCAGCCAGGGACACACAGGTTCTCACAGAGCTTTTGCAATAGCCCCAGTCGGGTTTGGGCTTACTCAACGTCGTGGCTGCCTGCGACGTTACCCACAGCCCAGTGGGGAAATCAGACCTGGAGCTGCTGTGCCAGCTCTGACCCGTGCTCCAGACTGCAGCTCAGCCAGAGATAAGCTGCAATGGAAGGAAGTGAGTTTGAGGATCCAGTATATCCACACACAGATAAATAAAAATACGTGGTTTTATATACAGGGCTCTATAACGCAGAGCTCCCAGCACAGTCGCTCTCAAACTTTCCTTCTCCTGCCCTTCCCATTGATTCATGTCTTTCTCCTTTCAACAGGGACAAGGTGAAGCACCAAGGAGTCACCTCCAGAGAAAGCAACTCCACCCCCAGCTCCCCCTTGGCTTTATTGTCCCCAGTGAGCAGAAACACCAGCAACGAGAGGGCAGCTCCCAGGGGAGCAGAAGAAGCCCACCGAGAGGTGCTGAGCCTTGAGCTAGGAGAAGGTGGGTGCTGCTGGCCCCCACCACCTTTGAGGGACCTGGGGATGGGAAGAGTGACTGAGCCATGGTGTAAAGCTGCTCTGGGAAAGGGTCTGGACAGCAAAGACCGAGCTGTTGGCAGCTCGAATGGACACTGCCACAGGCAGAATAGCTGCTGGGGCAGGGGGGGAATGCATGTTAAGGGGAAAACACTGCTCTGGTTGGAGCAGAAGAGTGCTTGGGTGCCCTCACTGTGCAACCAGTGCTGTGCAGGTGTGAACACACCACCCATTTCCTGCACAGACCTTGTCGTTGCCTTGCTGCCACCCACACATGCAGTACAGGCTACGTTCACTGAAGTGCTGGCTTGAGCCAGATGGAAATTTTGGCTCAAAAACTTAAATAAGAGGTGGTTGGTATCAGCAAGTGGCATCCTAGGAGGCTGTGAAGCTTCAGCACATATCAGGGCAGCCTGCAACATCTCTGTGAGACCATCACAGTGGCTGGTCATGTGTTTTTTTGCAGAAAAGCCTGCACGACAGAGAAGCTCTCCAAGCAGTAGGACTTCCCCAAGCCACGTCCTCCAAGAAGTCAGCCTCACAGAAATGGTGAGTTGCTGGAGGTAGCCTGATGTCCTCAGGCCTTCTCCCCACCTCTGTGGCCACCTGAGCTGGATCAAGAGAGGTAGACTGGGTTAGGGAAGAAGCAGGAGGCACTCAAGGGGTGCCAGGCTTGGGCAGTGTGCCATTGCCAGAGCACCCACCAGAAGCCAGAGGCATCCTCTCTGCAGAAATTGCCACTCTCTTCAAGAGAAGTGTTTAGAGCTTGGCACAGGCTCCTGACCCCACTGTGAGCCTGAACATCTTTATTGGCTCCTATATTTATCCTCCATGACAACACATAAAGCATCCTTGAGTCCTCTGCCCACCCCTCTGGTTCCTCCCTCAGATGTCTTGCTGGGGAGAGCTCTGAGGAGTGAAGGACCTGGTGGGATGGTGCCAAGCCACATTTCACTGTAGTTTATCCTGAGTCACTGCCAGCTCTCCACTGTCTGGGTGAGCAAGGAGCTGGAGCACTGTGAGTGTTGGAAAAACCTGGAGAACATGTGAACTGTGGGTGTTGTGGGCACTGAGAACAAACACACCACAGCAGCCCTGCCCAGGAGCATCGCAGGTGTCTCCCAGCACAAGGAACACGGGTGTTTTCAGAGGGTCTGGCAGGCAGTGGTGGCTGGTTTGTGCATGGAGGCATGCCTGCCATGCCTGTAAAACAGAGACCATGCCAGCTGAGGGGTGCTGAGAGATATGCTGACACTGGGCACTGGGACATGAGACTGCAGGACCTGGAGCCCTGTTCCTGCTCGTGGAAACTCAAGCCCACCCCCCACCCCCCCCCAGAGGTGCTGCTGTTTTGGCAGGAGTTAGCTTACCTGAACTCCACAGAAAACTTGAAAGAGCAGGTGAAAAGGGGTTTTGGGAAGGCTACAGGCAGGTGATGAGGGGAATTAATGAGGACCGCAGGAAGGGTTGGTGACATCTCCATGTGGGCAGGGGGACAAGTCAGAACGTGTGGTGAGCCTTTCATGACAGCAGATGGAGATGGTGATGTCCTGGCCTCACAGTATTGCCCTGGGAATACACCCAGCAAATCAGTGCGTGCCAGGAGGATGTATAAATAAAGTTTAGTGCCCTGACTACGGGTCAAGGAATGTGCAGGGTCTTAGTTAAGCCTCTGAATCACAGCTTGACTTGAGAGGAGGCACAAGACCTCCCGGGCTACAAATCAGTGCAGCCAGAAAATAGAAAGTAGATCCCACTAGAAGACACAAAGGGGAAATTTCCTGGGAAAACCAATAAAAACATGGTTGAGCTGTTGACCAGAACTGTACCCCAGAGCAGCTAGGAGCAGTCTTGCTCCCCTTAGCACAGCAGAATGGTTCACCTGGTCGTTCTCTCCCCTGCTGCAGGCATCTCAGAGGATCTCCAACCAGCTGCATGGAACCATCGCCCTGGTGAGACCCGGCTCCAGAGCCTGCCCCCTGGAGAAAAGCCCTTCAGGAGCAGCAGTGTCCCCTCCAGCGAGGAAAACTCCTCTGCCCCCGGAGCGTGAGCACAGCCCCAGCCTCGAGGCGTGAGTTGCCTGCTGGGGGGTCCTGGTGTGGCCCCTTGCAGCTGTCCCAGGGGGCAGACTGCCAGGAGACAGCCAGCATTCGCTCCATCTGCCCACCTTCTTCTCCAGACTTCTTCCACAGCCTTGGGGAGGGGGGTCTCCCAGTTTGCACCAGCAAAGAAAAATGACTGGAATCCAGCCCGACAAGCTGAGGCTCTGGTGACTCCAGCTTCCCCAGCCAGCCCCACCGAGCCAAGCGGGTGCCCTGGTCTCCAGCTGGGAGGAGAAGGACTTGACTCATGGGAGGCAGCAAGCCCAGCTCCTCCTTATCTCTTCTCAAGGGCTTTTCTGCAGGGCTCAGCACTTCCCCTGCTCACCCTCCCTGCTGATTTCAGAAGCCCAGAGGGCTGAGCAAAGCCAGTGAGTCCACCTCCAAAGAAGGCGAGTTTCCCACAGTGGGAGCAGGCCTGCTGAGCATTCCCACACGTGGAAGCTGCCAGATAGCCAGTGACAGCAGGGACTCGGTTTGGAGAGCAGATCCACAGCCCATACCGACCTCAGCGTGGCTGTGAAAACCTCCCACTGAGGGAGGTTAGGGGAGGCTTGGCTGCTCCTCAATCCTGGAGGACTTCACGCCCACCAAGGCATGCAGAAAGCCCGACATGGGACAGTTAGGATGTTTCTGGCTGCAGGGCAGGGTTTGACAAGTGGCTTCTCGGCAGCAGTGCTGATGTGAGGGGTCACTTCATCCTCCCACTCGCTCAGCCTGCCCCAGGAGAGGAGAGCACTGCTGGGTGGTGGCATGGTGGTGGCTTCCCGTGGTGTGCACGGTGCAGAGACCTGCTGCCAGCTGCCTGAGCCCTCTGGCCACCATGTCCTGAAGTCAACCATGATGCCAGGAGCTGCAGCAGGGCATAGAAAGAGCAGGAGGCACCACGGACATCACCTGCAGGAGCTGGGAAATCCCACGGGAATTCCCTAATTAACACAATTCGTTTTTTCTTGTTTCTTTTAGTTATTTAACAGCGAGCATACCGGACTCCCCCAAGGCTGTCCCATCCTATGAGAACATCAAACTGAGCACCCAGCGAGAGCAGCTCTGCCTCCTCCACAAGCACCTCTCCCTGCACCAGCTGGGGCTGGCAAGCAGCCGCCCCTCTGCCCGCCGGGATGGCAGCAGCTTCTCCAGCCCCCTGCTGAGGGTCAAGGACGCCGAGGGCAGGACGGGCTCACGGGAGGGCTGGGAAGAGGGCACGGCCTTGCTGAAGCTGCCCGCCGCCATGGTGTACGTGAGGGATCAGCAGCTGGAGGAGAAGCTGCAGCTC